CCGAAAATATTCATGTAGTACAGTACTGATAATTGTTCTTTTCCGTTGCAGGGTAAAGCGTACTTGGCATATCCTTGGCTTGGCTGGAGCATGTTCGAGCTCTTTTTTGATCTTGGATTGATCATATTTCTTATTGCCGTCTGGAGTCGGGTAAATTGAAAAAACAATTTATATTGAGTACCAGGAGAAAGTTTTTCCACAAAGTTACTGAACATTATTTCTGTTTTTTTAATTCTTTTTTCTATCTTACAGTTTGACGTCTTCTTAATTTTTTACGGCATTGCATGGTTGCTGTCGGTAAGTTGTTTCAGTCTAGAAGTAATTCATTTTCAAGCGAGTGTCGATAGTAATTCGAGACTGCATAGGTTTTTCTTCTCTCTGTGATTATTCCAAAAAACTCGCGCCACCCTCAACCAATCAAATTCAAAGCTAAAACCAACCATCATTTGGTTAGCCGCGTTTTCCCGCGCTTTACAATTAGTCGTTTTTATTTTTTTTTTTTTACTTAAGATTCTCATTGGCTCTTAAGGGTTTTACCTTTCTTCTTATTAGCCATCGAACTTACTTTGATTTTAAATGTTTTCAATAGAAAAGCGTTCTATTCTCCTGTTCAAGAGTCCGTTTCCGAAATACTTTTAGACTCGTTTTCAAAGCGAGTCCTGGTACTCATCCTTACATATCATAAAAAGTTTTCATTCGTATGCAAATAAACTCATTTTTATACGACTAGTTCAGCACCAGCCTGGTTTTGAAAAAGAGGCCAAAGGTAATTCGGAAATGGCCTATTAACTTCCCACTGGTTGCCTGGGTCTTACCTCATTGCCTCTATTTTTTTTCTCTCTGTCTTAAGATCTACTCCATCGTGGTGGTTTATTCGTTTATCGAACACCTTCGTCACAAACCACTTCCACCTGGAAACATTGGACAGCAAGAAGCACCTAGTGAAATGTCCACTGCTATATTTCCATCAAATACTCATTATCCTACGGGAACAAGTTCAGGATTTTCTTCCTCATCTGACAGGCGGCAACCAAAGCCAAGTGGTAAAT